CCCGTGCGCACGTAGTCCTGCATCATGTTCTGCTGCTGCGACAGGTACCCGTAGAACTGCCAGACACACGGACAGCCCGTCAGCCCGGGATCCTGACTGGGTGCTCCCCCCAAAACCCGGCCAGATTCTCCCCAAAACAAAGCCAGACTCCCCCCAAAACCTGGCCAGACTCCCCACAAAACCCGGCCAGACTCCCCACAAAACCCGGCCAGACTCCCCACAAAACCCAGCCACGTATCCCCAAAAAAGCAGACAGATCTCTCCAAACCCAGCCAGATTTCCCCAAAATCCAGCCAGGTATCCCCAAACCCAGCCAGACTCCCCCCAAAACCTGGCCAGATTCTCCCCCCAAAACGTGGCCAGATTCCCCCCAAAACCTGGCCACGTATCCCCAAAAAAGCAGCCAGATCTCCCCAAACCCAGCCAGATCTCCCCAAAACCCAGCCAGGTATTCCCCACAAAACCCAGCCAGATTCTCCCAAAAACCCAGCCAGATTCTCCCCAAAACCCGGCCAGGTATCCCCCCAAAACCTGGCCAGATCTCCCCAAACCCAACCAGATCTCCCCAAACCCAGCCAGATCTCCCCAAAACCCGGCCAGATCTCCCCAGACCCAGCCAGATCTCCCCAGACCCAACCAGATCTCCCCAAACCCAACCAGATTCTCCCCAAAACCCGGCCAGATCTCCCCAGACCCAACCAGATCTCCCCAAACCCAACCAGATTCTCCCCAAAACCCGGCCAGATCTCCCCAGACCCAGCCAGATCTCCCCAAACCCAGCCAGATTCTCCCCAAAACCCGGCCAGATTCTCCCAAAACCCGGCCAGATTCTCCCCAAAACCCAGCCAGATCTCCCCAAACCCAACCCGATCCTCCCCAAACCCAGCCAGATCTCCCCAGACCCAGCCAGATTCTCCCCAAAACCCGGCCAGATTCTCCCCAAACCCAGCCAGATTCTCCCCAAACCCAGCCAGATCTCCCCAGACCCAACCAGATCTCCCCAAAACCCAGCCAGATCTCCCCAAACCCAACCAGATCTCCCCAGACCCAGCCAGATTCTCCCCAAAACCCAACCAGATCTCCCCAAACCCAACCAGATCTCCCCGAACCCAACCAGATTCTTCCCAGACCCAGCAAGATCTCCCCAAACCCAGCCAGATCTCCCCAGACCCAGCCAGATCTCCCCAAACCCAGCCAGATCTCCCCAGACCCAACCAGATTCTCCCCAGACCCAACCAGATTCTCCCCAAAACCCAACCAGATCTCCCCAAAACCCAGCCAGATCTCCCCAAACCCAGCCAGATTCTCCCCAAAACCCGGCCAGGTATCCCCCCAAACCCAGCCAGAATCCCCCCCAGCCCCGGGAATTCCCACCTGGAAGTACTGCACGGCCGAGGACTCCTCGGTGCGCTCGCTGAACACCGAGCGCTCCGTGTTGTGTCCCCGGCAGTTCTTCAGGATGTTGTAAAAAGAGCAGAAATCTGGGAAAAATACAAAACAACCCAAAGGGGGGGTTGGGGGTTATTGGGGGATCCCCGGGGAGCTGGGGGGGATGCAGGGGGGCTGCGCACCGGTGGGGGTCCCGAATTGCAGCAGCACGCTGTTGCAGCCCAGGGTGATGATGAAGGATTGCTTCCCCACCCGGCTGCACTCCGTCTCGCGGGACACGGAGCACTTGAACACGCAGACATCCTCGTCTGGGGGAAAAAAAGGGGATTTGGGGGAAAAATGGGGGGGAAATGGGAATGGAGGGGGGAAAAGGGGGATTGTGGGGGGAAAAAGGGGGAAAAAACAGGAATGGAGAGGGGAAAATGGGGAATGGAGTGAAGAAACAGGGAATTGGGGGGCAGAAATGGGAATGGGGGGAAATGGGGAATGGGGGGAAAAACGGGGAAAAATGAGAATGTAAGGGGAAAAAAGAGGGGGGGAATGAGAATAGAGGGGGAAGAAAGAGGGAATTGGGTGGAAAAAACAGGAATGAGGGGAAAAATGGGAATGGGTGGGAAAAATGGGGAGAGGGAAAAATAGGGAATTGGGGGGAAAACAGGAATGGGGGGGAAAAACAGGGAATGGAAGGGGAAAAGCAGGAATGAGGGGAAGGGGAGCACCGGGAATGGGGAGGGGGAAGGGAGAACGGGGCGGGCACGGAGGGAAAATGGGGTGGAATGAAAGGAAACGGGGAGGGGACAGAGAGAAAAGCGAGGTGAGCGCCAGGCCAGGCCCCCGCCCGGTCCCGGTTCCGAACCCTCCCAACAGAGCGGGATAAAGCACAATTAACCTAATTAACCTCTAATTACAGCGCGGGGGGGGGGGTCTTCTAGCGCGGGGCGGTGTGTTGGGGGGGGGCAGCCGGAATTCCCGAAAGAAATGAGGATTTGGGGTCAGGGAAGAGGATGGAGGGGCTGGGATCGCCCCAGGAGTTGGGAAGTGGCCCGGGAGCCATCCCGGGAGTCAGCCCCGTTCCCCCGGAACCGGCCCGGGGACCGGGAGCCATCCCGGGAGGCACCCCCGGAGCTCCCGGCCGCTCTCACGCCGGAAAAACCGACCCAGCCGCTTCCCAAAAAAATAAAATAAAACTCCCGGTTTCCCCCCCTCCCCTCCCCACACCTCCCGGGGGTCCTTCCCACGCCGCGGGAAGTTGCGGGAGGGACCGGGAGCGGCGGGTTTCCACCGGGAGCACCGGGAGCCCCGGCGGCCGCGGCTCTTTGTGGGCGATGAAAGGACCGGCAGATGCTCCGCCCGGACCACCCGGAGCCCCCCGGCCCGGCACACAAAGGCAGCTCCGGAACGGCGGCCGCAGGCTCCGGGGGCAGCTCCGGTTCTCCCGGCACCGGGAGGAGCCGCGGGCTCGGCGGCCGTGCCTCAGTTTCCCTCCCCACCCCCTCAGCATCGGTGTCAAAGCCGGCGAAGCCGCGCGTTAATTATTCCCGCCGGCTCATTATTCCCGCCGGTTCATTAATTATTCCCGGCGGTTAACGAGCGCCCCGTTAGCACCGAGGGGAGGGGGCCGGGGGTCGCTCCCCACCACCCCCCGGTAGCCGCGGGAATCCCGGCGGGCGCCGAGTTCGGGGGGAGAAAATAAATAAAGAGGAGTTTAAAAAAAGCCCCAAAGCAGGGGAAGAGCCGGGACCGTGCGCCGAGACAAAGAGCGGAGCCGGTGCCGCCGCCGCCTCCCGTGGCCCCGGAACCGGGGCGGGGGTACCGGGAAGGTCACGGAATCGGGGCCGTTTCGGGTAAAAGCGGGCAGGAGCGGGGGGGATGGGAATCAACTTTCCGCAGCCTCCGGGAAACGCCGGGGGACGGGAACGGGAACGGGGACGGGGACAGAAACGGGGACACGGGCGGGGGGCACGGGGGAACCGGGACCCCCCCCCAGCCCGAGCTGCCCCCGAGCCCCCCCGAGCTGACGGACACTTAAAGCCCCCCCAAAACCCTTCTCCGGACCCC